TTGCTGTATTTCCCAGGCTGGTCTTGAACTCCTGACCTCGAGCAGTCCTGCCTTGGCCTCCCAAAGTGCTTGGGATTACAGGTGTGAGCCACTGTGCTTGTCCCTATCTCGAGTTCTTAAGGAACACGAAGTCCACTTTCTGAGCCTCTTCAGTGAGCTTAGAGTCCTGCCATGAAAAAAGTTAGGCCACTTCTTATACGGTAGCATAAAGCGTTTATTTTAATTAAAAGAATAGGGCAGCAGTGTGCAGGTGGGAGCCGATGGTTGTGCTCTACTTCTGCCGGGAGACCCCAGCGTTGGGCGCTCCAGCTGCCTTTGCAGACCACTAGAGGGCACAAAAGAATGCCGACAAAGGCCCGGGTGGCTTCAGGCGCTCCCCGGAGCCTCCCGGAGCAAGCTCTTTCTTGGGCTCTGCTCTGCCTAGAGACAGAGTCTGCCACCCCCATCAGCCCAGGGACAGCCTTTGAAGGGGCTTGAGGCACTAACAATGACAAGAACTGTGTCCTCTGACCTGTGTTTGTCCCCAAAGTGCCCATGAGGAGTGGGGTGCAGGGCCTGCCACGTAAAGTGAGTAGGTGAGGGCGGGACAGGCCAGCCTGCATGCCTTTCCAACCACCACTGGCTTCCAAGATGGCCCATGTCAGGGCAGCACTGGGATATGTGAGGACCTGGTATGTTTGTATAAATCTCTGCTGTTATTTTGTAGTTAACTTGTGCGCAGGAAAAGTCTGTGTTTATCTTGTTCTGTTTATTTTTATTTTATTCTGTTTTGGAGTGGGGATGGAGTTTTGCTCAGTTGCCCAGGCTGGAGTGCAATGGCACAGTCTCGGCTCACTGCAACCTCTGCCTTAAGCGATTCTCCTGCCTCAGCCTCCCAAGTAGCTGGGACTACAGGCATGCGCCACCACACCCGGCTAATTTTGTATTTTAGTAGAAATGGGGTTTCACCATGTTGGTCAGGCTGGTCTTGAACTCCTGACCTCAAGCGAGCTGCCTGCCTCGGCTTCCCAAAGTGCTAGGATTACAGGCATGAACCACTGGGCCCGGCCTATCTTGTTCTGTTTAAATGGTTTTCTCAAATGCCCACAAATACCAGGCAGGGATTCCAGGCAGCAGAGACCTCATGATGCCAGTCTGGTGGCCCGCAGACTCATCTGAATTCTGTGTAACCTATGCAGGTCCCTGAGGGAACTGGGTAAATTCTTCACAGACCAAGAATGTTGTCCTGCCATCTGCCTGCATCCCGCTAATAAGCGTCGGGTCATTTATGGCCAAACCTCTCCTCTCACGCTGTCCAGTAGAAGTCCCTGAGTTTCTGGACCCTGTCACTCATCACAGCAGCAAGCCAACATACTCTCATGGGGGCTGTGTTGGACTTTTCCTCGTGATCGCTGTAGCCACTGTTTTTTTGAGTGCCCACTGTGTGCCAGGCACAGTGCCAGATTCCTACCCTTATTTTCCGGGTGCTGTGCAGAGCTGAGCCTTTACTCTCATTATTTCATTCAGCCTTCACACCCCCTAATGGAAGTGCCCTTAGTATCTCCATCTTGCATCTGAGAACACTGAGGCTTAGAGCTACTGGGGGGTGTGCCCCAGCTCACCAGGCTGATAGGAGCCGGATCAGGTCAGCCAGAACCTCAGCTCTGCTTGCTTGCTTGCATTCTCCTTTCTTTCTGTCTGTCTGTCTCCTTCCTTTCTTTCTTTCTTTCAAGATGGAGTCTCACTCTGTCACCCAGGCTGGAATGCAATGGTGCAATCTCTGCTGACTCCAGCCTCCACCTCCTGGGTTCAAGCGATTCTCTCACCTCAGCCTCCCAAGTAGCTGGGATTACAGGCAACTGCCACTGCGCCCGACTAATTTTTTAGAATTTTAGTAGAGACAAGGTTTCACCATGTTGACCAGGCTGGTCTCAAACTCCTGACTTCAAGTGAAACGATCGGCCAGCCTCGGCCTCCCAAAGTGCTGGAATTACAGGCATGAGTCACTGCGCCCAGCCTCAGCTCTGCTTTATATGCGAATCTTTCTACTTCTTGGGGTGTTTGTTTGTATTGAGGCAGGGCCTCACTCTGTCACCCAGGCTGGAGTGCAGTGGCACTATCACAGTACACTGCAGCCTCAGTCTCCCAGGCTCAACTGATTCTCCTGCCCCAGCCTCCCAGGTATGGGGTGCAGGCTTGTACCACTTTGCCTGGGAATTTTTGGGGAGGGGGTTTTAGTAAATACAAGGTTTCACTCTGTTGCCCAGGCTGCTCTGGAGCTCTTGAACTCAAGCAGTCGTCAGTCTCCTGGAGGGCTGGGATTGTAGGTGTAAGCCACTGTGCCCAGCCTATACTTGAATCTTGGATGTCCATCCCAAACCCTAAAGGTAGACATTACTCTCATTTTATGGAAAAGGACACTGAGGCTCGGAAAGGTGCTGTGCCCTGGCCAAGGCCCACTGCTAGTGAATGCAAAGCCAGGACTCGAACTGTCCCCCCGCTTGTCTCCCCTGGGGCTAGGCTTTCCCTTGACTCCTCCCTGCCTCAGCCCTGGCCTGCAGCTGCATGAGTTATTTCTATCTCTCCTGTCATTCCAGCCAAACCACTGGGCCAGTGAGTCAGTCTTGTGGTTGAGGGAGGAAGGGTACTGTTGGGAGCTCGCAGTGGAAGAAGTTTCTTCAGCGGGTGGCCCCCGGGCCCTGCAGTACCCCTGCACCAAGGGAAGAGCCACGTTCCTCTAGGCCTGCCCGTGGCTTTGGGAAGTCGATGCCCTGGATAAGCCGCCAGCCTTCCCCTTAAAGGCCCAGGAATGGCAGTGAGAAGAGTTCACTTCCAATTCACTTGGACCCCCTTGTCCTCCCCACCCAGGTATCGGCGGTACCCACTGTGCTGGCCATGAAGAATGGGGACGTGGTGGACAAGTTTGTGGGCATCAAGGATGAGGATCAGCTGGAGGCTTTCCTGAAGAAGCTGATTGGCTGACACACAGGGGCGAGTCTTGATTCCCTTGCCCATGCGCGGGACCCCAGTAGAACTCAGCCCTTCCATGCCGGCCCTTCCTGTCACCTCCCTCCTGTCTGGCCCCTGGGGCCTGTGCTTAGAGTCCGGGCTCCAGCCATGAGTGCTTCCGAGCTGGCGGACCACCCAGGGGCTGCCAGAGGATGGTGCTGCTGCTGATCGGGGATGACCGCTGTCTTCCTTCCCACACACCTTTCGTCCCCTCCCTCTAGGGCCTGTGGCAGTTCTCCCAGGATGCGTGGAGAGAGCCCGGGCCAGCCCACAGCGCTCCTGTTCAGGCAGCCACACCTTGGTCCTCGTCTCTGGTCCCTTCTGATCTGAAGCCTCGTGGCTGGCTCATCTGCCACCTGCATTTCTCTTTCCTGTTGTTGTTTTGTAAAAAGAAAAAGGAAGCCCAAACTAGCGAGAGTAATAGATAATTCTCTCATTTTTTTTTGTAGGTCTGTAATAAAACACTTAGTCATCCCTTCCACCTCCTACTGTGAAGAGCAGACCCTGGGTCCCACACTGAAATCCTCTGTGGTCGCCCATCCGCACACCCAGGAAGCCCCCCTCCCACCTAGCCTCCCAGGCAGAGGGGCAGAAAATCAGTGATGGGCTGGGGAGCCCTGCAGAGCCTTGACCCTGAAAGGCTTGAGGCATCTCGTTCACTTGTTCGCTGGCCTGTTGGTTCTCTGAGCAGGGGACTTAACTGTGAGCAAATCAGACCAATAAAGCAAGGGTCTGCAGTGTCGCATCTGTGTGAGCTCAGAGCACTTGTGACCCTTTCCCAGGGGGCATGTCCACTGTCCCTGCGTCCTCCCCTACCTCCATGACCCTCTCTAACCAGCCCCTCCTGTTCACTGACACTCTTGTCAGCAGTGGCTGCTATTCTGAGCATGCTACGTGCACCATCCTCAGGCCCTCCTAAAGCAAGAGGCTGTCATCCTATTACCCTGATGAAGACACAGGCTCACGGGATGCAGAGCTGGGGTTTCTATCCAGATGTGGTTGCCTCTGAAACCTGGGCTCCCACAGCTGATCCCCTTGACCCTTCTGAGGCCTCCCACTGACGGGCTCCCAGCTGCCCCTGTGGGGATCAGGCTGTCCTTTTCATGTGTGCCTGCAGTAACCTCTGGGCCTTGGGACCAGACAACCTCTCTTGGCCCCCAGCTCCTTTGGCCATGAGGAGTGTGCCAGGGGAACCAGGCTTGCCAGCCCCTTCCCTCTGCCTTGCTCCTAGGGCCAAGCTGTCATTAGGGCTCAGTTAACCTGGATGAGGCCCCAGCTTCCTGTGAGTCGTGTGCTTGACGGCAGGGGATGCTGACACCCTACCCCATGGCCCCAGGGATCCTGGGGGGCTGGTGCTGCTCTGTTTCCAGAGCCTCACCCTCTTCCTATTAGAACTGCCTGAGTTCTCCAGGGGCCCACCCAAGGACTGCCTTGAGAAGGCTTCTGAGACAGGCAGGAGAGGGGCCCGTGGCCTCTGAAGGACCCTAGGCCCCAGGGGCTGTCACAAGTACATGGAGATGACAGAACCAGCAACTGGCATCAGTGAAGACAGGAGCTCTTGGAGTGAACATCCTGCAAAGGCCAGGCACCCCTGGTAAGATGAGCAGGGCCTGCCCAGGCTCAGGAGGTACCACCCAGGCACCTGGTGCTATTCTGAGGGTCTCAGCTCACCACAGCCCCTCGGGGAGGCGTCACCTTTCAGGTTCCACCCGAGACCTGCCCCAAGAGGTTGAAGAGCCTTCCCTAGGTCACGAAGCCCCTGAGTGGCCAGGCTGGGATTTGAGGCCAGGCAGCCTTTCGTACCCACCCCCGGCACCACCCTCGCTGCCTCCCATCATCTGATAGAAGGTGGCTTGCATGTGATCTTCATCTCACAACAGGCAGCAAGGCAGTTGGTGTCAACTCATTTGATACAGTGGGAGCCGAGCAGATCGGAGGTTGAGTAACTCTTCCAAAGACACCCAGTGAGCCCAGGGTGGGGCCAGAGCATGGTTCTGGGGCACCTCGACTCCCAAGCCCGGGCCCTTCCCACCGGCCCCCACTGCCACTCCTTAAAAGGCACTGTTTGCCACGCACTTTCTACACATTACCTCATCGAATTCCACTCTTGTGAGGTGAGCATTATTTCCATGTCATAAGCAAAAAAACCAGTTCAGAGAAATTGACTTGCCCAAGGTCATGTCTAAAAAGTGATGATACCAAATTTGAACCCAGTGGGGGTCTGGCCTCTCAGCTCAGGTAGGCGTGGAGAAGTGTGGCAGAGGCCTTGGCCAGAGGCAGTACCTGGGCACTGCCCCAGCTCCCTCTCCTTAAAAGGCGCGTTGCCCTGCGAGGTGAGCCGGTGGCTGTGGCTATCCCAGGTTGGCAGCCTCTGCCCGTGAGGCTGATCATGGCCATGAGTCATGCTGGCTGTGCTCACAGAATTCTCCGGGTGATCCTGTTTGACCAATTCCAGGACACTGACCTCACCGGAGATGCCTCTGGCTCTGGGCTGGCTCTGGGCTGTCACCCATGGTTGTCCTGTGGGTGCCACGTTGGGCCCCAGGACTGTGGACAGGGTTGGCAGACACCTGCTGAAAGCCTTTCGCCGCCGGGTTGGGAAGCCGGGGAAAGGGGACAAAGTTGCAGGCTTCCCGAGCCTGAAGACAACCTGGGAGGCGGCCCCTGGGTATTGATTCCTGACATAGAGTGCGTGTGGTTGCCTGCAAAGAGACAGCAAGGGCGTAAGCTCCAGTTTGCTGTGCTGGCTGCTCAACTTGGCACTCCCTTGTGCCCCTCAGCTCTGTTGCGCCCTTCAACTCCTTGCACCCCTCATGTTGACCAGGCTGGTCTCAAACTCCCGACCTCAGGTGAGCCACCCATCTCAGCCTCCCAAAGTGCTGGGATTATAGGCGTGAGCCACAGGGCCTTTTCTGCCCTGGCTTCAGGAGAGGGGAGTGAGGAGGGCGGCTATGTCTCTGAAGAGGGAGGACTCAGCTAAGGACCTCTCAGGTCAAGAGGATGTTGACGGCACTGCTGCCCCTGCCTTTCCCAGCAGTCCCTGCCCCTGCCAGGGGCCAGGGCCAGCTCAGCCCCCACCCCGGCCGCCTGGGGAAAGCTGCTCCAGGAAGTGAAGGTAGTTCTGGCCAGGCTGCGGAAATCCCGAATGTGTGGGCCCTGGGCAGGGAAGGGCCCAGAAAACAATGTTGGGGCCATGTCCATGGAGGCCAGGATGCTGGCGACAGTCAGGCTGCCTGACCTGCAGCCACAGTTCCTCTCTGCTGCCTGGAACACCAGCTGGAGGCATGACCCTTACCCTGGCCAGGGCTGGGGTCCCTGGCTCTGCAGGAAGCCTGGGCCACTGGTTGTTCCAAGGAGCCTCCGTTTCCCACTGGTTGTTCCAAGGAGCCTCCGTTTCCAGCCACCTCCTGGCAGCAGGGCTCCTCCCCAACCCCGCCGCCCCTCTACAGTGATGGAAGTAGGGCAGCAAGAATCCGATCTGGATTCAGATCCTGCCTTTGCCACCTCCAAGTTGTGTAACCTTCGGCAGGCTGCTTCTCCATTCTGAGGCTCTGTGTTCACTATGGTGAAATAAGGCTAACAGTGATGCTCACGCTTACTGGGGGCATGCTACATGAATCCTCTCTTTTTTTTTTTTCTTTTTTTCCTTTTGCATTCCATAGAAATTGACAGAATGGATCCTCTCATTGAGTCTCCATCACAATCCCAAAGGCAGGGACGATTGTTTCTGACATTTTACAGATGAGGAAACTGACGCTGGATTTGAACTCCTATGTGGCCAGACATGGTGGCTCATACCTGTAATCCCAGCATTTTGGGAGACTAAGGATCACTTGAGGCTAGGAGTTTGAGACTAACTTGGGCAACATAGCAAGACCCTGTCTTTAAAAAAAAAAAAAAAATTAGCCTGGGCATATGGTGGTGTGTGCCTGTAGCCCCAGCTACTTAGGAGGTTGAGGTGGGAGGATTGCTTGAGCCCAGGAGTTTGAGGCTACAATGAGCTGTGATCTCACCACTGCACTCCAGCCTGGGCGACAAAGTGAGATCTTGTTTCTAAAAAATAAAAAACAAATTTTATTATTTTATTTTATTGTTTTTGAGATGGAGTCTCACCCTGTTGCCTAGGCTGGAGTGGAATGGTGTGATCTCAGTTCACTGCAACCTCCTTCGCCTCCTGGGTTCAAGCGACTCTCCTGCCTTGGCCTCCCAAGTAGGTGGGATTACAGGCATTTGTCACCACACCTGGCTAATTTTTGTATTTTTAGTAGAGCTGGAGTTTTACCATGTTTACCAGGCTGGTCTCGAACTCCTGACCTCAAATGATCCACCCGCCTCAGCCTTCCAAATTGGTGGGATCACAGGCGTGAGCCACCACGCCCAGCCAAAAAATTAAGTTTTAAAAAGGGGGGAAAGAATGAACCCCGTGTCTTTAATTTCAGATTCTCTTTGTTCTTGCTGATTAGCTATACTGCTTTCCTTTTGGAACAAGTTTTGTCACCACTTTGAGCCCCAGTTGCACCATCTGCAAGTTGGGGCTCATGACCGTCCCTGCAAATGAGGTCACGGCGCAGTGGGAGGAAGCACGGTGGCACCCAGTGGAAGTTCCAGAAGTGTTAGCTGTGAGGCTTTCTCCTTCCCTACCCCCAGCCACATCTTAAACAGGAAACACCAGGCTTCCCAAGATAAGGACCCCAGCACCGTGGGAGGGGCCGGTCGCTGTACCAGGCTAAGGACCTTACATTCAGCCCTGTGCCCTGGCCCTGGCCCCTGCCACCACCTCCTCCTGCTCTGGAGCTGGCTTGGTGGCGTCTGCCTCTCGGGCACCCCTAGGGAGTTGGAGGCAGTGACCTCACCCTTGGAGAATGCCCCCTGGAATTCACCCTGAACCTGGGCCTCCATTCCCCATGCCTCCCAGCCACTTCTGACTGCACTCCCACGCATACCTCTGCAGCCACCAACGGAGCATCTCGTGGGAGCAAGAACGCCCCTGCCACACAGCCGTTAATTGCCAACTGGGAGATCAGCCAGTTCCCCACCTTCAGCCAGCTTGCTGGGCGAGCTTAGGCAAGTAGCTGTCTGTCTCTGGTTTGCCCCTTTACGTCAGCTCCCAGCAAGGAAGCTATACAGTGCCTAGCCTTTGTGCCCTTACCGCCAGAGGCTCCTCCCATGCCTTCTCAGAACTAACACCCGCAGAGGGAGAGATGGATTCCATTTCCTACATACGGAGATGGAGCCCCAGAGAGGTAGTGACCATGCCTAGGGCCACACCTTGGGAAATGGGCCCAGGGCAGCCTTACCCCATGCCCTGCTCCTCCCCCTCTGCTGCATTGCTGTCCCCAGGAGGGTCAAAGGATCCCTCCTCTCATGCCCAGAGTGGGGACTTTGGGCCTCTCTCTCTCTTTTTGTTTTTTGCTTTTTGAGATGGAGTTTTGCTATTGTCACCCAGGCTGGAGTGCAATGGCGCGATCTTGGCTCACTGCA